GGAGCCCGATGAGGGGCTCGATCCCAGGACCCTGGGATCATGACCTGAGCCGAAGGCAGACGCTTAACGACTGAGCCACCCAGGCGCCCTCTTTGTGATATTCTTTTTAGAATAGCTCCCTCCCCAACTTTGCCCAAGGTGGAACTAGCCAGACCTCATGTGTACCCACTTCTAAACTTTATTTGTATATGGATTTGTAATTACACTGCTGTCACCATAGAGTGGACATAAAACTGTGGCAGCCACGAGCGAAATATGTGCAGTGTAGGATTTGTTAATCATTTGTATCAAAAATCTCATTGGCCAGGACCACTCTTCTGCCATATGAATAAGCTTGATTTTTGGAATAAGAGAAATTTGGAAGAGCCACTATATAGTGATCTGTCTTTGAAGAGAGAACATATTTCTAATGTAGCAGTTTTAGCTGTACTGTTTTGGACTATATCTTAAGTGTGTTCTTTGTTTAAGAAACTGAGGAAGATGCTTCTGAAGCAACGGAATTACGAGATGAAAACCTTGGATCACTTACAACAGCAGAGAATAAGGAGCAGAGCAAATTGGCTTGTGAACATGGTATTGAAGAGACTATTTTTCAAGAAGCAAATCTAACTGAAAGGTAAAAGAGAGATTCTGGGATTTGGGTTATATTCTGTTTCAACTATAGTCATTAGCTATAACTGTAAGAATTTGATTGGAAAAAGGGGGTTCTGTTGCATTAAATATATTTTAGAAATTTGAACACCATTAAGTCTTTGACTCACTTAGCTCTAAACATTACTCTGTAGTTGTCCACTTGGTTTCAGTACAGAATTTTAATACATACTCTGAAACTTGAATATATACTAATTTCTTTTTCAGAAATGATGATCAAGAAGAAGAATCTCAAAAGGTCCAGATACCGTCAGTTGCTCCAGTTGTTTCCTTTGAGACAAGGCCCCATACACTTGGTTCAGATATGGTTCTCAGTGAGAGTTCCATCAAAGAGCCCCAGAGAAAGGACTCTAATGGAGACAGTGTGCTTGCACTTCATGTGTCAGAGGTAAAAGAATATAAATATAACATGGGGTGGCTGGGTGTTTATTACCCGTTTAAAAAAAATTAAGGTAGGATTTACATACAATAAACTTCACCTTTTTCAGTGTGTACTTCTACAAGTTGTGACAAACATATATAGTCATGTAAGCAACACATAAACAGTTCCATCATCCCCCAGATTCCCCAGGGCCCTTTTTTAGTCACCCTCCCACCCTTACC